GCGAATTGTAAGCTCCTTAGGACGAGAAATAAACGAGCTGTTTAAATATTGTTGATTCGATAGTGTAAAACTAAATACGGTCGATTTATATTGAGAAGATATTACGATTGATTTTAGTTTATGATGAAGCTTTACCTACATATACCTTATTTATTTTTATCATATATTTGAATGTCTTTAATATTCTGAACTGTTTCATCATATAGCTAGTTTAAAATAATTTCTAATAACCCAACGTATACGTTTATGGAGAAATTGTAAAAGTCATTCTTTAGAATCAGTGTTTTCACAAAGTTTATTCTACATTATATTCTACGTTAATTTCAATAGATTAAAAATTATAACGTATCTTCATTATTATTTATACAAGGACACCAAAATGTCAGTCAATCCTTGTACTAAGAATTGTAATAGAAAGGACGATAACTTAAATCTTTTTTATACATTTTCTTGAAAATATGAACTGCATAAAATGTATTCAAGTATAAAAGTATGCCTGATAAACATCATTAATTCGAAAAATAAACATAAAGCTACGTTTTTCAAAGAAAGCTATTTCAATACTTTATCCAGCCTTTTTTTACGATCGAAAGAGTTTTAAGCAATTTCTTATAAAAAATTCGTAAGAATTTTATTTGTTACTACAAATTGCTTTTTTATTTTTCTTTGTACATAACATTTGTTTGTTTATTATATTAACTTAGTGATTTGATTCTTTAGTGCTTTGTACACTTGACTTTAAGCGATAATTTCTTTGAAGAAAATATGTCATAGGTACGTAGTTCGTGCAATATTTCAACAATTTTCCTTTATGTTTTATTTATATTTAATGTTTTATGTAAAAAAGGCACATAAAAGAAATATAAAAATATGAATATCATATTTGAATTTACAAGATTCTTATGGATTAATTTACAAGAAAGTATCCGTATGATTTTATTGATGACTAAATCAAAATTTAGTTATTAATTTGGAAATGAAAGTTACTTTATTTTATTACTCACTAATCATATTTATGTTTATTTCAATTTAGTAAGCCCAACCTGTGTAGATACTAGGCAATCATAAACGCACATGTGGCAAATATTAATTAATTCAATTAACCAAAACGGATTAATAAGACGAGATGATGTTAGGGTCAACACGATAACTTATTAATACTGTTCGGTTACATAAACCTCAATTCTAATTAGTTTCTGTTGTACAAAATCAATTAAATGGTACTAACAGAGTTATTGGATCAGACCGCAACCTCAAGAAATGTTCTTAGATTCAAAGGGATGGTCCGACGTCTCTATGCAGACCTATACGAACATAAATTAATATTAAATTCCACCATAAGTTGGTTTAACTTTATGGTGTTATGCTTTATATTAATATTATCCTAGTTTTAATTAATAGAGACTTCTGTTTTAAACTGTTAATTTTTGTTCGACTAAAGGCTTATTTTTCAATCATCAGTTAGATCTCAACTGTAGAATTAAATTGACATTTGACAGTAATTAGGAAGAAATGTCAAATATTGAAAGTTATTCCTATTGTTAAAATTTAACTAAACATCGGCCCTAACATATTTTACTTACATTGGTACGTACAGTTCATTGATAAATACGTCTGTTCGATAGTTATTGCTTCTTAAAAAGATTGTTATAAAAATTTTACCTTATTTATTTATTAACAGAAACTCAAATGACTGTTAGCCTTACTTAATTTAGCCTTTACCCAGCTGTGGGTAATCCCAGGTTAAAATGACAAAGATCATGAAATGACTTCTCCCACCTGGGTGAGGCGGGAGGGAGTGTCAAACTCTAAGAATTAATATAAGAGAATACTAATTATTCATAGTTTTAGAAGTAACTTTTCAATCTAAAACAAAGGATACATCATGTATGTATATTAAAATACTTATATTTTTATTAACCGCCTCCATATTTACTCCTTAATCATTATTTATTTCCAAAAATAACCTTCAATACCATTACCGAGCCCCAATAAAACAGTTATCACAAATATGATTCCGATATATTCCCCAAAAACGATCTATAAACCTAGTATAAATGTCAATAGTTTCAATAAATGCTACGTCCGTCCAACATGGCTCTGAATTCGAGGCACGTACGAAATTCACGTAAACGTCTGCTACCCGTCTTATTGATACAAATAGAGATATCAATTGTTTAGGACACGGAGGAACAACAAGGTGGCAATGTTAGTAATTCTTCTGACGGGATGCAAGGGGACTTTATGACCACTTTGATATCTGCGGGGTTGAGTTTAGTACGTTATAGAATGAGATTTTTACGAACTTCGGGACCGTCGTAATGCTATTGACCTCTCTTATGGTTGCCCTGGACCGTATTACGCCGATTGAAATGAACTCAGCTTAGGCTTCAGATGATCTATTATCACAATTATTGGGTTTTATTTGCTTTTCACAATTTTACTTTCTGTTATTCTGTTAATTTGTCTTGTATGCATATTTTCCTTCTCATTACTGTTTAATGTATTCATTGGAAGTGTCTTAATTATTTAATAGCGCAAATGTGTTTTAATTACGTATCATATTTTGTTGAGTTATTATCATAATTATGCTAATGTTCGTCTTTTCAGCTTTACTGTTTACTTTAGAATATTTTGTTAGGTTAAATTAGACACAATATTATGCCATGTTAATTTATAGACTATGAATTAATAACTATAAACGGTGAAATATTAATATGTATTTTACGTACAAAAAAAAAAGATTTTTTATTTTGTGACGTGTGTGTGTAGACAATTCAGCCCTCTTGACGTGACTTATAGTAAGTACAAACAATATACTACATATTTTTTAATTACTCTCATTCGATAAATAGCTACATTTTTTTTTTTGTTTTTATGTTTATTTCATAAATAGCTACAATCAATATTGATATATTTTTAAAGATATAGGTGTATAAGTATTAACAATTCTCATTTTTGTTAATTAACAATTCTGGCATTTTTTAAAGGTTAAAATTTTAAACATTTCATTTTAGCACCTTGTCCTGTCCTAATTTAAAAAAAGGTTTTTATTTCAACCCTTGTTCTTTGGAGGAAAAATCAATTTGGTCGTCCCTTTGGGCTAATAAGGATATCAGTAGAATTCTTTATATTGTTTTTTTTTTATATTTAAACATTTTAGATAGATGGGTACAGTATACCTACCGCTTTTTTTTTAATAAGTATACGTATTTTTTTACTCAATTTGCCATATTTTATAATTATACTATGTAGGCACCTTAATAAAAATGTGAATATAGAAAACTTTAAATTTCAAATCTTTAGTGTTTATTGTATTTGTTTAAACCTTATTTTAACACGTTCGAGGACAAAACGAGATTATACGTCATCGTTCGAGATTTTAATATCGCACAACGTACGATGACGTTCAAATAACATTTAAATTATACGGCAGAACGTTCATTTCCGATGAAAGTTCAAGTAAAAATCCTTTTATATGTATCTTGTGTCACAACATATAAAATACCCAACTCTGTACTGTCACGTAGGGTAAGTTTAGAACTATTTAAAATAAGTGTCGTTGATAGTGTGCGGTTACGGTATTCACATACGCACAACGTGTTTATACGTCCCGCGCTCCTACATTCAGCGCGGCTGTGTCACTGTGTACATTACTTTAATGCAAATTAATGATTTTACAGTGTGAAATTGATGTTTAATGGGTTATTGTGTGTTTTAGATGGATATAAGCGCAAAATAAGACACAAGATAAGCATGTTTGATGATTCCGACATCTCCAACGAGGCGGATCCTTACCTAGATGCATATACACGTTGACGTGATAAAACGGTTGTGTCATGATATGTTTAAAACGATATTTCTTCATGGGACACTACGTACTGATACGTCGTATAATTTTGTATAGACATGTACTGTGTCATTTTGAAAACCCGACTCAAGTGGTAGCGTCCTCGAACGTGTTAAATAAGAGTTTTTTTAACTTTGAATTAGATAAAATTGTTCATTTATTTGCTTCATAAAATATCTTTTTCTTTATAGAGAATTTTTTTATTGGGGTTTATAGTTTAAGTCTATCAAAGTTCTAGCTAAATTGTTTCGTAGAATCGTGGAAAATTTATTCTTACATCACTAGTGCTGACCTTCTCATTTTAATTGCTTTTATTTAAATGAAAATTAAACTGTAGTAAATTTTATAAATTAAAGATATTGTAGGTACTTAGCAACATTTCATCTTTACTTTAAAATTAGGTACAAGAAGATTCTAAAATTCTTTGATACTGTTTTCAAGACATCTTTAACAGGTTTCATTTATGTTTCACTTTTACAAAATCTTTTTTATAGTTAATATAAAATGTTTAGAATATTTATAAAAGCGTTTATTACATCTTAAAATAACTATAAACATTACAAAATTAACGTCTAAAATCTGTACAATCAAGTAGATGGGTATTATTTTTAACTTAACGATGTAGTTTCGTGAAGAGAAATCTAGTTTTATAAATATGATTTGAGCAAGTTAAAGGCCTGCCTATGATTTGTAAAGGGGAACAGTTTGTGGGCCGTTACCGTACATTTGTGTACTGTCTGTTTTGTGTCTATTTGCGTCCTCCCAGGTTGTTCAACTCAACCGACCGCTCACAAAATTCGTGATGGTCATTACACAATAATATCTTTCCTATAACTTGAATGTGTCATAGTTAGTGCCGGATTTTTTTTCTACGATTTAGTAAAAATTTGTTACTTTGCGGATAACTTAAAAGTTTACTAAGTCCACAAATATGTTTAATAAATAACACATGAGTATTGCCTTGAATATATACGTTAAATTTATAACTAACAACTTCACTTTAACTGCCACAGGAAACTTATTTAATAACTACATCCAACTGTTCTGCGGCGGTCAACTTCAAAAGTAAACTTTGTGAATAAGAGACAAAATATGCCGGAGTTATTTGGTTGATGCACAATAGCCTATACACGAGAATACGACGACCAACCTCCTCCGTAGTCCGTTGAACCAAACACGTTGCAGTTTCACAGAAAAAAATAAACAACACACTATTTACTACAAGAAATAACCACTTTATTCATCAACTTAATGTTAATCGTCACTAAATAAAATACAGTTCAATAACTTTCAAGTTAAAATGTTTTCTAAAACAAGTTTTAAAACTCGTAGATTCACGAAGAAGTTGGACGCGAGCGTCCCACACGCGTGCATCAAGCGTGCCGGCCGGCGCAGAACTAGCTCGCAGGTCTCATTCCGTACAAAACTTTTAAGTCATGGAGACGGCAAAGCTATGTCGCGCCTCTACAACTCACGCACACAATCATACCCGACACCCTATGCACAAACACGAAAGCGAGCTTCCAAGTTCACTAAATAAACGAACACCAACACAAACGTGCACCAACACCGTCTACCCCCTGTTCATGAGACGTCCGAGCGAGACGCGTATATCAACAATGCATTTAGGGCCGTAGGTGCGAGCGAGAGGTTGATACCGCAACAGATGTATATCATTTTACGCAGGTAAGTATTGAAAATGTTGGTGTGTATGAATGAGACGGCGTACAAATTTAGCTTAGGCAAAGCCGGTTGGGAGCGAATGGGACAGGAACTGTTCAAGTCACCCACTGTACATTCCTTCCTGATACCGGCGCGCCGTCGTACCTTTCGATCGTTCAAGTGGCAGATGAAGCTTTTAGGGCTGTCACTCGATCAATTCGCGAACCGATAAAAATTGGGAACTTTAATTAGATATAGTTTTTTTTCCTATTTTTTATTAAAATAATTTTATTTTTATTTTGCATTGTGTTCATAATTTAAACAAGTATTCAATTTAAATAACAAGATAAGTTGCATATTGTTAGAATTAAAATTATAAAAAATAAAACAGCTAACATTAAAACATAATTTATTATAAAAAATAACAAAATCTTGCACAAATATTTAAATAAACTCACAATGAGACACGAGAACTTAAAATAGTAGACTAAACTTGCGACGAATTTTGCAAGCTTATAAATGATTCAGGGGCGCGGGTAGCATCCTTACGTCAAGATGTCACAAAGTAGCAGGTAGTGTTGTAACGTATGCTGCAAAATTTTGTGAATGTTTTTTGCATGAAGCGCCATCACTATTTTTTATGTTTTACAATGAAGACATCTGCTTCAAACTGTGGGTTTTGTAACACTATATTATTATACAATTTATTTTAATTGGGGATCGTATTATTCGTAATCGAGGTCGTTATTTTGACCCTTATGTTTAATGGGTAAATAGGAGTTTTAAAATGTTTTTACCCCTTCCATGAAGAGCTGTCATTGACACCTGTTATTTTTAATCTAAATAGATTGTAGTTGTGTTGTGATTAAATGATATGGAGTGGTTACTGTTGACATGAGTACTTATACGGATTTGTTTAATTAGGTATTTAAAGTGAGATTGTTTTCATTTATTTAGTAAATTTAAGACATATTTATTGTGACGTTTGATTTTCCCGTTGGTGCAGTTGCACTGCTGTATACAACGTGAACGAGAGTTCGATACCCACACGAACCTATTTTTTGCGTGGTATACGGGTTCGAGTTGTGACACAATATTTGATATATTTTTTTTATAATATGCAAAATAAATAAATAAATGTTGCATAATTAAACACATAATTCATAAAAATAAAATTTGAAATAACATTATACCCACTTGCATAAAAAACTTGATAAAATTAATAAGTAGTAACGTTGATAAATTTAAAAGTTCAAATTATTTTACCAGACAACTTACATTCAACTTTTATTCAGTCAAAAGTAAGTACAGTCAGCATAAACGTAATACTACTGATAAGAATAATTAGTTTTCTATTTAAGTATAATAATTTATATCATTACATTCAAATCTTAATTATTAAAATCTTAAATTGTTAATGTAATGTATTTACATTACGATAACATATTCATTTTATCATACATTTTCTAAATATGAATTAAATTTTTTAATTAAAAACCCCTTGTCTTTTAACTTCATAAAAAATATGATTGATATAAACATGATCTAAAGCAAGCCATTCGATTTGATAAAATGTGATATTAGAATTTTTTGTTCGATGTCGGTATCGAGTTTCCAAAAAAGCGTGTCCGTGCGTTGGAGAGCGTCAAGCGAAACACTTCTGCGAAATTGGAGCCATGCGGCGAAGGCCTGACGGTAACACGCCACGACACCGTATCACAACACAATCCCTTCCCATGTAACTAACACACAAATTAGTGTAGTATAATGTTCACGCCCTTTATTTTTATACCTTTGTCAAACTTCATACGAAATGACAGCACAATACACTCACTCACTAAAGTATACCATTTCTAGTACACGTTATCCGAATACGAATAAGCCGTTTTGGCTATAGGCACATTCCTCTTGCGTCCTGTTCTGTAATCCTAAACAAAACTGACGTGGTGATCGTTTAAAAAACAAAAATAACACGTGAAATATGACGTGTTTTTGACGGTTTGACACGGGTAACGTGTGCGGCACACTTCATTAACTTTTCGAATACGAAATCCTGACAACGAGTACTTCAGCGGACATAGATGCGAACTCTGTGCGGTTAGATATTATTTACCAGTGCTACATATAATTGTGGTTATAACTGTTTTATTTCTTGGAAGCATTTATACAAGAATAAGCACATAAAGACTTTGATGCTTAAAGGACCTATTCTTTGAAGATTTGCAAACGGTCAGCCTTTTTTATAGTATGAATAACATGACCAGACGTCCTGTTTTGAACGGGACTGTCTCTTTTTATAATTATGAGTCCCGTTGTCCCTGTAATGAACTCTAGGCCCCAAAATTGTCCCGTTTTCGGAAACTATGCGAAAATTTGAATAGTTGAACCAATGTGACGACTGTTCGGACGGCTTGAGTGGTGTGCGACTTTTTTTTTAACATTGCCCTACATTAGGATTTTCTCCTGTATCGCGGGTGCGTTTACAAACATACAAGTTCACATAACAATGACACCCAGACCCGAAACAACAATTTGTGGATCACACAAAGAGTTGTTCCGAGCGGGAATCAAACCCGCGACACGTTGCACGGCAGCCGGTTGCCCAGCCACCGCACCAACCGTGCAGTCAACTTGACGAAGTACAGACGAAAAATCTTTAAGTACCTATATTTTTGTACAGGTTTTAGTTGAATGTCCCGTTTTGAGAAAAATAAATGGTCATGTTAAGTATGAACGAAGGAATGAGTAATTTTTTTCACATGTATGATTACCAGTTATGGCAATAGCTTATGCTTAACTAATAATAATTCGATACCACGTGTGGCTAAACTACATAAAACAAATGCGTATTGACGTGTGGAGCAGCAGAATGAAATGTTCAAGAGCTGGCAGTATAACGTTCAATTGTTTTGACATGACGCCTCGCTGTATGAACATATAGCGAAAAGAGGGCCTGTGGCTCTATAAACGCGAAATAATGACGACGCATTGTAGCTTCGCAGGATCAAGTAAGTCGCTATTATTTATTTCTTCGGAGGAGCTTCACAATAGAGCACCACGGCTTAACTGTCAGCGATACAATAAGCAGCTGTTCTACGTTTATTTTGTACGAGCTGAAGAGTAAGACGTACGCCAGATGACGTAATGTTACCTGCCTTTAAGACATGATAAAAGAAATATGACGTCGACGTCATCTCTTAACTTGTAGTCCTTCGTGCTTATCTTTTGTGTCGGCCAATATTTTACCCGGAGGCAAGTCTCGTGTATACTACGATGTTATTCATACAACATTTTGTAGGAAGCTTAAATAACATTGATGAATGAAGACCGTAGCGCACGTAAGTCGATATCTCTTAGGAAATCATCTTGAAAGTCTAGGTGGGTAATATTCTACTGTAAAGAATTTGAACTATCCAAAGGTGGACGATAGCATCGCTCACATGTCCATGAATTTTTTCGCTGGAACCACGAGTTCCAACAGACGGCTTAGAGTAGCCAAAAAGCCAGAAATAGTCAGGAAAGCGTCGGCCAGAATATAATAGCAGCAATAACAAAAGTGAGTCGAGCTAACCATTGATTTGGATTTTACGTTGGTCCGACGAAAAAAATAAGTGCCTTTGTGTTGCATCCGCAAAAATCTGACCAGTGGCTGTCATTCGAAAATGCATGTCCGACTGCATGGTAAGCCCGTTGGTATAATACAGGGCGACAGGTGAATACTAAGTGACGTTTTATATTGTGTGAGCACTTATCAGCTTTAGTGGTCCACACGACTTTCTCGTGAATTGTTAGGATTTGTTGTTGCGACAATGTGAAAAGTTGTTTTGTCTGAGACTCAGTCGCAAACAAAGTATGTACTGGTTTGCTTTGTAAAACAACAGATTATTATATTTTAGTTCTACAAAAATAGTGGTTTTAATCCTTTGTTTCATATAAAATACTGTTAGCAACGTTAAGCTTCTAACACTAGTTTAAACATTAAATTATAAAAGCCGATAACGAGTGTGAAACATAGAACGCGGCCACCACTTAATTTAAAACAAACATCGGCTAAACGCTGTTACAACAATTGTTGAACAATTTAACAGCGCTCGGGCCAGTTCATCCGTATTTCCTACTTAATAAATGTCTGGTCGAGGAGTCGAGCCAGCCCGCACTGACGCTAACTTGACGGCAGCTTGACATAGCAACGTACGCGTCTAAAAATGAAGCAGTTGTTCCACCTTACATGTTTTTTGTGATATCAAATTATGAAATAATAGTGAACATTATTGATTACTTCTGTTTAATTTGAAACGATTTTCTCAGAAACGGTTAACCAAGTAAGTTACGTACTTCATGTATATAATTTTTGTAGTAGCATAGAAAAGAAAACAAACCTTTTTATATTTCAAGGACTTCATATCTGTTTGTAAAAATATTTACAAAAAATTTCGAAGGTTTCATTGATACCACCTAGTCACCATATCACCTAGTCAGCTATACGTTCTTACAGTAATAGTAACATTTACAAGACGGACAGACGTAAGGCAAAGAACATGTTAATGAAGAATCAATCAGGTGTAACAGGGATCGAATTGAGTCCGTCGCTGAGGGTAATCAATCAGGCGTCAGTGTTATTGTTGTGATTTGTTGCGGCATGGACTCCAGTCCAATCGGCCGGCCCTCCGGTAGCCATTAGTTTGATTAGCTCGTCCGTCCCACGCACGCTGATTGTGCGAACGTTTGGCTTTGATTGATTCCTTCAAATGGCACCGTTTCGAGACTACGCTTTATTCTCGGGCGATACATTGTTGCCGACTGCGATACGATGTTATACTTACGGCTTTATTTAAGTAAATGTACAGTTGCGTACAAAAGAATGGGACCATCAAGTAGTTTTTCTTAGGATTTTTTTTGCGATTACTATAAATCTCTTGTAGTAGTACGCAACTGAACTTGAAACTGAACCGAAACAACAATTAGTGGATTACACAGAGTTTCTCTGTCCAGGAATTGAACCCGCTACACGTTGCGTGGCAGCCGGTTGTTCAGCCGCCACCGAGCCAACCGTACCTACAGTCGTTTTGGATTGTTGTTGGTAAACGCACCCACTGAAATTTTATAATTTTAAAATAACTATATAATTTATCGATCCAATGCTTACAGTATGAATCTCTGTTCTTCGTTAACATATATACGATTCTAACAGACTAACATGTACCATCACATTTAAAGGTGAAAATGCGTCATTGTAGATACAAACGTGTTTCGATTACT